AAATGCTGCTGTCCATATTTTTTTCAAATATTTCCCAACCTATATGAATATGAAAGGAATGAAATAAATCAACACTCCACAAGAATTTTTCAAAGACATTTAGTACATGAAACTAAAGACAAGTTCAGAAACATTTCCACAAAACTTTATTTAGTCCATATTTCTGTGTAGATATGAGGCAAAACATATAAATGAAAGAGCAGGAACAGAAAATGAAAATAGAAAAATAAATAACTATTGAAGATGTCAAGCACTCATTTGCTTTTGTTTCCTAATCAAGACAAAATTCTCATTACACCCTTTATTTTTCCAACCTGAGTAACTTGGTATAAGGAACTAAGTATTTTGAAAGGTAATAGAAAAAATTTCATCAGCAAAAACTCGTCACCTGATCAAATTTTCGTCCTTGGATAATATCTGAAAGAGCAAGACAAGAAGCCTCACGCAAGCGCCAAAGCCTAGATCCACATTGTATTAATAGATCATCAAAAATAAGGTCCAGGTTCTCATCAATGGTCCTTTTAGGATCAGCCACAAGTGCTTTCCATATAGATGACATAGCATCCTGTAAATGATTAAGTGAGCAAGAAAAAAAAATTAAAACAAAGATGCTAATTGTTAGGAACAACCGGACATTTCCATAATAATTCACAGCATTTGAAGGCGAAAGGAAACCATTTTAGAAACAAGTTTGTTAACATGACAAATTTCTAAAGTGATTAAACAACAATGAAATAATGAGTTTACAGGCTTTCCTAGCATCCTAGCATCATTAAAGGACTCTTACCTGAACATTTTTATCAGGATCATATTGGTAGCGAACAAGCCTTGGAATCAATGAACTCAAGTGAGGTTGAATGGCATTGCCAGCTTGCTTGGCTATCTTAGAAAAGCCAAAAGCAGCACCCCTCTTAGAATTTAGAGAGGCTTGATGATTGGCCAGATCCATGAATTTGTAAATTAAGTCCGGTTGCCCCATCTCATTGGCTAGATTACAAAGCTCCTTGTACGTGCTAAGTTTTCCACCACTAAGACTTTCACCAATAGCCCCTTCTTGAAATACTTCAGAGTCTTCAACAAGCTTAAGAACATATAGACATAATGTCAGATTCATAAACAAAAAAGATAACAAAAAGCTGCAGAAGGAAAAGAAGATGATGCATCAAAAAGATCCCAGAAGAGAAAACATAAAGAACAAATCTAGTGCTTATCAATTATCCAATACCTTGTGTAGTCTATTTCTTGACAATGGCTTGATATCTAGAAAATGTTTATGAATGATATTATGCTGCAGGGATAGTTTTATTTTAAATGTTAACATTTTTAGCCATACAGCTAGATTAGCAAATCTTCATACTAGTAAGCTTAGGTTATTGCTTATTGACTTGTCTGTCCTATTTTTTAGTTAGCAAATCTTCATTTGAATGATCTAAGTTTTTCAGTTTCCAAATTAAAGTCCATCCTAAAGGTGGTAGAACACAACAGTTTGCATATGCCTCATTAGGAATGAGAGAATTCCTATACATGGTTTATGGTCCAATCCATCAACCTTAACCTAGGTCTTGTTAACTCCATTTCTATCCCTCTTTTTCTTCCCTCTCCTGCTTAATCATTTCATAATAACTCATTAGCTTCCTACAAACTGCTACCTTTTCCAATGACTTTGATATCCTTAATCAAAATTTTCAATCTATCTCTAAAACATTCCACTAGAACTTCCACTCTACATCAGGATATCCTTTTACGTTTTTACCTTGATAGCTCTTTTCCTCTTCCCTGAACCAGTCAAAGTACCAACAAGTGAATCTACAAGGTTTTTCTTCATTGACTCATCACCAAGTTCATAAACAATACTCATTCCTTGGGATGCAAGCTCTTGAGTAAGCTCATTCTGTTCACCAAGGAGGTGTGAAAAGGCTTCCTGCATTCAAATAAAAGATGCAAAAAGGAAATCTTAACAATAATGTCCATAGAGTTGGTATCAGATTTCAATAATGTCCATACCAAACATTCCGAAATCTTAACAAAAAGAAAAATCTTGGTTGATTAACAAAAGTAGTTAAAGTAAATTGTAATAGAGAAAAGTAAAAGAAAGCAGAAAAATAAAAATAAAAATAAAAGAAGTTAAACTAAATTATAGTGGAAAAAGAGCCGCATCAAAACAGAAACAAGTGCACCTTTTTTTTTTTTTTTTTTTTTTTAAATATATATTAGCCATGGAGAAATACAATTTAATCTCATCTTCATTGAAAGAAAAATGTAGTGGCTAACCTGAATTTCTGGAAGCATTTGTTGGATGGCAGAGTGATGACCACAATACATTGTAAGTGACACAAGCCAGACTGTTCCAGCACAACGCTCTTCTTTTCTGTTACTGTACAAAAGATCATTAAAAAGCTTTTTTGTGATGGTGTCTCTAACCGCAATATGGGCATCTTCAGAGTCTCCACTATTCTCGATAGGGCTAAAATTTGACAATGACAAATTCATGTCACCTGTAAGAAAGTTTGAACTCATGGAAAGTGAAGTATAGTTAGTCTTAAGAATCTCGTGAGCAGTTACAGGAACACCACCCCATAGAAATGATAGGGCCTCTCCAGCAGCAAACAAAATTTCCTCAGCCTGTAGAAA